GATTATATAAATTATTAATATATATATATATATATATATATATATACATTTTAAATTTTGTATTTGGTTACACAAATCTACATATAATCATATAACACTACAAAAAATTCAGGTTTATAGAACGCCAAAAAATTCAAGCGTCCTAATAAACCGTTTTATAGGTCGCTAGAAATATATAAGCGTTCTAATAGACCACTTTATAAGACTTAATTTATAGGATCAAAAAATAAAGTGTAATATATAACGGTGTTGTAATAAGTTTATAAAACACTTGTATGCGTCTTAACGAGTTTTTTAGAAGAATTTTAATACAAAACGTCTCATTAGCAATTTTATAGGACATTATTTGAAAAAATATCATATCAAGACAAGTGTACTATAAAATGATGAGATTATATGAGACTTTCTCAAAGGTATCCTATAAAATTTATAATGCGACACGTTTTATTTTAAAAATGTCCTAAGAACTTGTTAAGATGCCAAAAAAACGTTCTATAAACTTATTACAATATAAAGTTTTATTTTTTGTTCCTAAAATTAAGTTTTATAAAACGGTCTATCAAGACGCTTAAAAACTGATGGTGTACTAATAAGTAATTAAATTGAAGTTTTATTACTTAAGATATAATATTATTGATTTTTACTATCTCGTTTGTATTAATTAATATATTTTATTATTAGTAATTTCTTTTAATCATGTTATATAATATTATAATTGACTAATTTTCTAACAAGTTATTTTTTGTCATTTTCCATTTTTCAATTACTTTAGTTTTTATTAAAAATAATTAGTTGATCAGCTAATTTATCAACTAGTTTGTAAAACATAACTTTCATAAATAAAACTTGTTAGGTGATCTTGTAGACTTGGTATATTTCAAAAGGTTTGCCGATTAACACACTACTAGAAAACTGGGCATTTCAGGCGGAAATTTCCGCCGGAATTTTTCCGGCGGATTTCCAGCAGAAGTCAAAAAAATTGACTTTTATTGACTTCCGCCGGAAATCCGCCCGAAAAATTAAACTGGTTACTTTTTCGTCGGATTTCCGGTGTATTTCCGGCGGATTTGTTAATTAATTGTTAATTAATCTTTAAAAATTAATTAATAACTGAAAAAAAATTTGAAAGGATACATTCTGGCGGATTATTTAAAAAAATTAAAAAAAATTAAAAATTCTTTAAAATTAAATCCGTTGGAAAATATTTTAGAAATTTTTTTTTTGAAAAATCAAAAACCCTTTTAATCTTTTCCGGCGGATTTCCGGCGGAAAAGTAAATATTTTTTTAAAAAAATTTAAAATTTCCAGCGGCATTTTGAATTATTTTTAAATTTTTTATTAAAAAAGAGTAAACATTTTTCCGGCGGATTTCCGGCGGAAAAATAAATAAATTTTTTAAAAAATTTAACATTTTCGGTGGATTTCCGGCGGATTTTTATTTTTTTTATTAAAAAAAGAGTAAACATTTTTTCGGGGGATTTCCGGCGGAAAAATAAATAATTTTTTAAAAATACTTTAATATTACCGAAGGATTTCCGGCGGAAAATTTAAAAAAATATTTAAAAAAGAAATAAACAAATTTTCCGGCGAATTTCCGGCGGATAATTAAAAAATTTATTTAAAAGAGAAATAAATAATTTTTCTAAAAAAAATATAAACAATTTTCCGRCGGATTTCCGGCGGATAATTAAATAATGGACCGTATTGGTCTTTAATGGACCGTATTGGGCTTTAATGAACCGTATTGGGCTTTATGGAAGAGGCCGCCGGTACATTTTTTAAAAAATTTTTTTTTGAAAATTTTATTTAAATTAAAAAAATATATATTACATATCCGCCGGTAAATTTTAAAAAAAAAATTTTGAAATTTTTTATTTAAATTAAAAAATATATATATATATATTACCGGCGGATTTGGCCGCCGGTAAATTTTTAAATTTTTTTTTTTTGGAAATCTTATTTAATTAAGTTTTTCCGGCGAGAAAATACTCCGGCGGAAAAATACGCCGGAAAAGTTTTAATTTTTTTTTTAATTAAGTTAAACCAAGTTTCTTAACTTTTTCCGGCGAAAGATTTCCGGCGGCCGTAATCCGCCGGAAAAGGGAAAAATCCGCCAGAAAACTCGACGGAAAAAAAATCAACGACGCCCTCTTTTCCGGCAGACAAAGAGGGTAATTTTGGTAGTGACATCAACATCATTCTAATTACTTATTTTAACGTTTTTGAATATGATTGTTGGTTTGTATACATATACACTCAGAAGTCCATTGGTTACTCGATTAAAACGCATAAAAATCCCATTTTGTTATATTGAATTTTGAATCCATATAAATGCAAATATATTATATTTTCACTCAAATACTTCACAATTTCTACTGAAAAAACATCATGGGCAAAATGTAATCAGATAATTAGCCCCACTGTTACATGTAAAAGTGCTTGTTTTGTCGTCATAAGCAAAGCTATAAGCCTTGGGGCAAAGATTCTTGAAAAATTGCGAATAGTTCGTGGGCGGGCATGTGTCCGGTGAACTGTGATCGCCGGCGCAACAATATTCCGGTTTGTTAAACGCGACACATGCACTTTTACAACCGATTGTTCCACCAGATGCATCCTTGACAGCAAGCTCAGGCATGCACTGAGCATTAATGTCAACCGGACAATCTGTGGTTGGACAACCAACACCGTCTTGCGAAACCACAGAAACCGGTAAATTAAACCCATCAACAAGGCTAACGTCGTAGAAATCCATTTGACCTGCAGGTGACAAAGTAAACTCCACAAGGGTTGCAGGTGGGGCTGCACCTGCACCATTGCATCCTACTTGACCAGAACCACAATCTCCACTCTCACAATGGAACTTTCCGTCATCGTTGGAACAGCTGAATCGGGCCCAGACTCGTCCTGACCATGGCACCGGCATGTTAATGGTGTTTGAGGCTTGAGGTGCCAGTTCGAATCCTGTTGGTACTGAGTCTCCGCTGCCAGTTAAAGTTGCTGGTGCAATGCCATAAGGACAGTTATTTTTTATTGTGAAAACCGACGAGTGAATCCCTGCAAAATCCATGATTAATAAACATAACGGGGGCATGATATATTATATATATATATGTATGTATGTGTGTATATATATATATATATATATATTCTGGAATTATACCATAAATCAAGTTGCAGACTAAGAAAAGAGCAAACAGAAGTTGAATCTCCATATCGAGAAACCAAAATGGCAAGATTAATATTTTGATGTTAGGAGAAAATAGTAGAGGAGGCAAAGGGTGGAGTTGGGTTTTTATTAGAGGTGTTAGTTGAGCTCAATTACAACAAGACACAATTTAAGCCATACATTTTAATATCATAATAAATAACATGATTTGCTATGCATTCCTCATATTAATTATTTAATTAATTAAGACAAATTTACATTAATATTCTAATTCGTGTTATCTCACTCTTCAATATAGAAAGCTCATTACAATGCAACTATATTGTTTATTATTATTTGTTTTATTACTTATTAGAAAATGTAAATTATATTTGTTTAAAAGAAAAAATGTTTTATTTTTATTTCTTTTTATTTCTTTTTCTACCAAAAATATATAAAAAAAAATTAAAAATTTCCGACGGAATTTAATTTTTAACTAAAAACATTAAATTCCGTCGGAAATGTTATTGATCAACGCTAATTAGTTTATTGAAATAAATTAGACAAATTTTGCGACGGATTTGTGAAGGTTTTGAATAAGTAAAAAATCCGTCAGAAATCCGTTGAAAAACCGTTTTTAATAATTTTAATTTTTTTTAAAAAAATCAGTGGGGGTTTGTGGCGGACGTGGATAAAAGTTGACTTTTTTTTACTTTTTTGGGATCCATCAGAAATCTGCCGAGAATATTTCCTACGGAAATTCTTGCCAAAAAATTCTGTCGGTGATACCCTTTTTTTTTAGTAATGTAAATAAACAATAAATTGTTAAAATAATATATACTATTAATATAGGAAATATATAAGGTTGGAGTTGAGATTTAAAAAAACACTTCCTTTTAGTCATTTAAATTTAAGTTTAAATATGGGGAATATGATTGAAGATGATACAAACATTTAGAACATTTTTTTGGTAAATATAAGTTAACTTATTTTTTTAAACTAACTAGTGTTTGACTCCGTACGTTACCTGGTGACGATAATTTTTTTGGAAATATTAAAGTTAAATGGGTGATAATTACATATCAGATTTTAAACTAATATTAATCGATATTACATTTAATATGAAACTATTGGATCATCCTCAATTGTTCATTTTGATATATATATATATTGATTAATAAGTCATGGATCATCAACTTTGTAACTGGTTCAAAATGATAAAATAAATGTGTGAGACTAATGATTATAGTCATGAGGTGTATTATGAGAATTGTTTTGTCATAATTCATAATATATCGATTTATCCTCTAGAAATATCCCCATAAATCATTTGAGTTACCATGCAAATGTGGTGTTATTACCTACTTTTGCATAATTACGTGACATTTTGATAATTTCCTTACATTTGTTGTAGTGTACTCGTGTGCATCTTGACCAAAAACTCTCCTCGAAACTCTTCCTTTCCAAACCTACGATTGTACGAAAAGTACCAGTAATCGCAAGTATTGTCACTACTTCGACTACAGGGAAGTCTGATGGAATTTTTAATATTTTATATCATTTGTTCGAGTTTTTAGGTCTGCTTGAGATTGTTTCTTCATAGTTTGGTTTCTCAGTACTTAAAAAAAAAGTAGTTTTTAATCATTTTATGTAAAATTAAATGTATTATATCGATTCTAATTTATTTTTATATATATAGTTTGATTTCAATTTAAATAAATAATGAAACCGGACTAATTTATATATTAATAAT